ACTATTGCATATAAGTTATATGATCCTATAAAGAAGAAGATCATCATCGGTAGAGATGTTGTTATTAATGAAAAAGATTGATGGAAATGGTGTTCGATGATGAAAAATCGAAGTGCTAGTTTTGATGATACAAGTGATACAACAATCGATGACAATGATTGATTGACTCTTAGTATCGAAGGAGTTAAAAATCGATTGATATCAGAAATCAAAGATGACAAAAATCAATTAATTTTTGAAATTGAAGGAAGGAGAAATTGGTCTACAAGATCGATTAGAACACCAACAAGACTCAGTGATTTTGTTATTAATACTAATGATACTGTCACAACATCTGGACAAATGATTGAAGAAACAAAAGATAAAATGATATGGTACATCTAGCACTATATGTTGATGTCAAGCTTAAATCAGTTTACTTTATAGAAGTGATTGAGGATCCTAAGTAAATAGAAGTCATGCAAGATGAGTTGTTGACAATCGAGAAAAATAAAACATGGGAATTAACTGATATCCTAGAGAATCAAAGGCCAATTGGAGTAAAATGGGTGTACAAAACGATATTGAAATCAGACGGAGCAGTTATAAGACATAAAGGCAGACTTGGCTTTCCATAAAGAAAAGGTTTAGACTACAAAGAAGTATATGCACTTGTTGCCAGGATGAAAATAATAAGAACAGTTGTAACTCTCGCCAGCTATAAAGGGTGCAAATGCATCAAATGGATGTAAAATATGTATTTTTGAATGGTAAATTGGAGGAAGAAGTTTATGTTACACAATTACTAGGTTTTGTGATTACTGGAGAAGAACAAAAAATTCTTAGATTAAACAAGACATTGCATGGCTTGAAACAGATTCAAGAGCCTGGAACACTAAAATAGATGGTTGTCTTCGACAACAAAGATTCTTAAATTGTGAAGTTGAGTATGAGATTTATTTGAAGATCGAAGAAGATGATGTTTTAATTATTTTCTTATGTGTTGATGATTTGTTAATTATATGCAGTAAAATTACTTTTATTGATAATTTTAAAAGGAGGATGCAAGGTCAGTTTGAGACGACCGAACTAGGGAAACTGTCATATTTTCTAGGAATGGAATTCAGCGAAGGCAAGGAAGGTATTGTGATTTACCAAAGTAAATATGTCAAAAAAGTACTCAAGAAATTGTGGGATGAGTGAGTGTAGTGAGACAATTACACCAGTCGAGTCAAATGTGAAACTTAACAAAAATAAAGATGAAGCCTATATATGTCATTGTTTATAGACATATGGTTGGTTGTTTAAAATACTTTTGTTGTAATAGACCGGATATCTACTTTGGTGTTAGGTTGCTGAGTATATTTAAGGAGAAACCCAGAGCATCTTATTTTGCAGCAACTAAGGGAGTTTTGAGGTATATTAAAGGGATGATTGATTTTGGTATTCTATTACCAAATGCTACACATCAAAATGGAGAATAGTTGGTTAGATATTCTGATTCTGACTGGACTGGAGATAGAGTTGGTTTCAGAAACACAAGTTATGTATTCCTATTGAAAAAAATCACTGATTTCATGGTGCTCAAAGTTACAACTTGTTGTGACACTCTCCTCTTGTGAAGCTGAATATATGATTACTGCTTATACAACTTGTCAAGCATTGTGGATTGAAAATTTGGTGAACCGAACCCTTGGAAGATAAGAGAAGATTATGATATTGAAGATTGACGATAAGTCGATCATAAATTTAGTGAAAAATTCAATCCATCATGGAAGAAACAAACATATTGGATTGAGATTTCATTTCATGAAAGATGAAATAAGAAATAAGAAATAAGTTGAGAATTGAGCACTGTTGGACAAAACAGCAGCTGATGAACATTATGACAAAATCTTTGAATAATCAAAGATTTAAAAAATGAAGAAAGAAATTAAATATTAAATCGATTATTGAATTAGAGAATTATATTAGATAATAATTCATGTTGTAATTAATTAGGTTATAGTTAACCTAACAAACCTTAATGATTGTTTTAAACCCTTTCTCTGTAGTATTTATTAAGTGCAATTGTATAATTTAATATGTATTTTTCTTATAATATTTTATCGATATTTGTACTTAAATCTCTTTCCCACTGTCAAAAATAACATGCGATTTTTTTATATAAAAACTTAGAATTATGTACACGAGAAAAAAATAACGTTTACAATCAGCAAAAACTATTTTATTTATTTTCTACCACAATGCTACAAAGTTTCTCTTGTTTGTAGACCAAAGTTTCTAGAAATTTAGTTTCCATTAAAAATTAAATATCCACTATAATAAACCTCCACTTAAGAAGACAATAAACATAAAAATATCGAAATAGATGAAGAATCGTATGATATTATTACATATTAAATAACTATGAAAAAAATAATTGTAAATCTGTCCGCCATCTTTATTTCTCGACTTGAATTAATTAATTGATCAATTTGTTTGTAATTTTTGTTTAATCAAAATGCTCATTATTTGCTTTATAGGTTTTTTTCTTTTTTCACTTAACCTTATCATTGGTCCACCAAATTTTTGTGGTGCTTTCGGTGTCTTTATCCGATTTTTACGAAAAAGTTTGTAATATATTATTTCAAAAGTTAATATTTAGGTCTATATGATATCTTACAGAATAAGATTCAAAACTACTAGTCATGGGTTTGTTTTATTTTGATATTCTACATATGTCAAGTTCAATACTTATATTAAGGCTATACAAGGCGAAAAGAGGACTTAAAATATAACTATTTTGACAAAGAATAAATTCCTAGCCATCACTAGTTCTACATCAGAAGCCACCAATTGGCGGTTGTGATTTCACTTCAATTCAAAAGGTGGGGTTGGGATGGTGTAGAGTTTTTAATGAAGTAATTAATTATGAATAACAATAATTCTACCATGACCCAATAACTAAATATAAAATCATCTTACGATTTTCACTAAAATTTGCAAAAATAATGTTAAAAATTGTTCGAATGAACAATGTTAATATGTTTGTTTGTACCATTAAAATTTTATATTGATTATACAGGTAAAGTTATAAATAGAAAGTATTAGGGATGAAAAAGTTTTAAAAACATTTATTATAGAAAAAAGATATAGTAACTTATCATGTAAATATATATATAAACATATTTATGTTTATATTACACAAATTTGTTCGAAAAGCTATTAATCTATTTGATTTATTAGAAAAACTTATCTTGTTTTGAAATTTGTGGTGCTAAAATAGTATTTATATTGATGTGGAAGATAATTGAGCAATATCTGTATTATATAGACAGCACTACCATACCGACTCTTCAAATTTATCTAGCCTGCATACATCTACATCAAGTTTTTATAACAATTTTAAAAGGTTATTAATTATGATAATGAGAAATAATATAATTTTTTTTCCATGTTTTTCATGTGGATACTGATAAGATACATTTCATCAAATAAGAACTTTATGTCACTAACCAGTTTGATAGGGTATGGTATGGTATCTAGTAAAAGTGAAAAACCATTTTTCCACTACAAAAAAGAAACATATATATTAGGATTAAGATTATTGTCATCCATATAACCTTTGAAACAAAAAATAAACTATTTTTGTCAGCATTTATTAATAATATGTTTTCTTTTTAATATTATACATCATTTTCTATGTCAACATAGTTTTTCACTATATATCATACTTTTGCGAAAATTAAAGTTGAGTGGTTCAGTGTGATACGCCATGCACTTGTGCTTGATCGTTTGTTGTTTAATCATTCATGCGAGTACTGGTTGGTGGCCTAACAAAGTATGTGTGTGAGACATAGAGAGAGGTGATGACGCAAATTGATGCAAATCATCACTAGCTAATATACCAAATAAAATCAATATTAAAACCTATTAGGTTTTAAAGCAGCTTCACCATTTAACTTCGTGTTTAAGTCATAACATGTGTTCTGATACACTCTGTTGCAGAATGCTCAAAGATTTTAATACTCTTTGAGTGAGTGTCCACTCCTCAGAAAATTAAGGGAAAGAGAATAATAGAATTTGGGAGAAAAAGGATCTTGAAACATGGAGGGTTCTGACCGCCGGAGAGTTCTGACCACTGGAGGGTTCTGACCGGTAAGAAGGCCGAGTAAAGTGCAAATGAGTGAAGTGCCGGTGAGTGAAGTGTCGTGGAGTGCAGCCATCGAGGACGCTGACTTTCGAACGGGGTGTTATTGTAACAAGTCCCACATTGGGGAAGTCTCCTTACCAGGGAGACCTTATAAGGTAGGAGGTTTTCCAACCTCTTGAGCTAGCTTTTGAGGGATGGTTCCCCTTTTAGCCTTATGGATGTTACATGTTCTATGTGGGTATATTTTTAATAGGAAAAATCATATTTCATTATTAAGAAAATTATTTGTATTCTTAAAGGAATCCGTCTATAGAAGAATACAAATTTGTTCATCAGTTACTTTTGTTAGATAAGGAGTAAATTATATATAAGGTACTATTTATTTAAATTATCCTATGACTATCACCACTTCATCTAAAGCAGATGGTAGGTTAATCATGTATATTCACAGACTTCTCTTAAGAAATGGTTAAGACTGGAACTAGATATTATAATTAGGGTCGCCTTATATAAAATATCATGCTTTTTAATATTACTACTCTATTTTTATTAGTATATTGTCCATTTGTAACCATGAATACATTATATATGTATAAAGAAGTAGAATAAGTTTATCAAACTAAATTATAAAATAAAGTAAAATATAATAAAAATGCTCTAATAATTTAATTTTTAATATAAAAATAACAGATAAAAAATAATGACATACATTTTTTTGGGGTGTTAGGGATAAGCTATAATTAGGTTGGAATAAGGATTAACATATCATACAAAATATGGACTATTCAGCACTAATTTATGTATGTCTCAGTTTCTATAAAGTTCATGCAGTAGCAGGGGATCAGGCTGTAACTATGATAGAAATATAATAAACTAGTTTCTGTCTTCAGTAATTCCATAGGCAATCAGTGCCCACATGTCCTGCAGAAGCTGATGAATGTTCTTGATTCCCAAACATTCTCTGCATCATGTCACTGCTGTATATCACAGATGAGATATCAGCATCAAAGTCTCTCCCCTCAGGAAACTCTGCTTTCTGAATTTGCCTTGCGCTTGATCCATGATTTTCCATCAGCATCCTTATGGATTGTTCTTGAAGCACATAACAATTATCTGGGTGCTGTGAATTCCCAATTTGGTGTGCAATATGTGTTGATTGGCTTGCGACTGAAAGGGTTGCTTTGCCAGAAGGGGGAGCATCAACAGGTGTTGCAGAAGATGAAAAGTCCAAAACAGGAGTTTCCAAACTATCAACAATGTCATCATGTGTGTTCTGATCCACAGTTTGATTTGGACCGCAGCTGGTCACCTGAGACAACTCACCAGCAGTGGTTCTTGTTTCACTGTTGTATGGAGAAGAATCCATCAATGGAGGCAATAGAGAAGAAGGTGGTGAAGATTCCTTTTCGAAGGCATTGAACCTCCCACATTCTGGAACAGGCATTTTCTTTCTACAAGGACTCTTCTTCTCAAAGACTCTGCAGAGCACCCACTCACTCTATAAAGTGGGGAGGGGGATTGTCATAACAAAACAACCTTACTAGTTAACAAATATTCAACTTGAGGAGGAGATTAAAAATAAAGAAATTATTTACCTAACATGTGGTGGTGGTCCTAATCAATCTCAGATGATACAAAGTAGTTTACAAAAAAGTCTTACCTTTCCAGATTTGTGTTGATTATGTTTCCCTTCCAACCTATATTCATGCATGATCCAGTTTGTCTTTTCACCTCTTGGAGCTCTTCCCATGTAGAAAACTAAAGTTTTCTTCATCCCAATGAGAGCATTTTCGGTTATTATCTCCTTGTCTTTGCCTGTGGCTTTCCAATAACCAGCATCAGTAGCCCTGTTAGTCCTTAAACCAGTTGGGTATTTTTTGTCCCTCACACAGAAATAATACCACTCAGTTTCACCCATTTTAGCCAATCCTTCAGAAACCAAACATGATTGTAAAAAGGCATCACAGATTCACCACCAAATCAAGACAAAACGAGGATTCAATTAAAAAAAAAAAAAAAAAACATGAGGTGAGAGACTCACCAGGCAAATTCCATGGCTCACACTTGTTCAAATCAACCTCACCAATGGCCACGGCAGAGAAACAGTTGTCAACAACCTTCTTTGTGAGGTAGTGGGTTATGAGTTCTTCATCAGTTGGGTGAAATCTAAAACCTGTTGGCAATTTCAGCTGCTGGTTTTCCTCCCTTAGTCTGTATGCATTCTCCATCGATCCAATCCCACACCCAAATTCCCTGTTTCATCAAATAAGCAAATGAAAAACAAAGCATAACAAACTCATCAATTTATTCAAATAAACAACACATTCAATTCTCAAACATAGGTGCATGAATTGAATGGAAAAAATAAAATCAATGAACCAACCAGTCAGTTAAAGAGCAAGCACTAATGTGTTAGTTGTAATAAGAAAAAAAAAACAAAGACTTTGGGTAACACAATTTAAGGCATATGAATGTGAAGTATGTAACGGAAGAGGGGAAAGGGACCAGAGGGAATGAACTAGAAGTTTTTCTTAAAAGAATTTGACGAAGATGGTGTTAAGGAAAAATTGTGAAAAAACGCGAAATCCTTAAATACTGGTTATTGGGGAGGTTGTTTCATGCTTGTATATTACATGATTGAGTATATCAAAAGTTGAAAGGTAAAATCATGAAGTAAAAACAATAGTAATAATTTAATTCTGTAAGTGAAAAAAATGCTAAGAATATGACAAGAGAATAAAAAAATAAAATATATTTTCAATCTTTATAAAATTATATAAATTTCTTTTATATCATGAAAACATATTATATCCTAAAAACTTACAATCTAACAAAGGGCTAAAAATTAAAAGTTGATTTCACTTCATCATGATTGTAAAGAGTTCCCTTTCCTATGATTACTGACAGCACCTCACTGAATCAGCCGTCACAAAATTAGCCTGAACGTAAATGTTGAGGTTGCTATGTTCTTCAAATTGATGACCTCCTTTGTTTATAAACCTAACTCTTTGAAGCACCATTCCAATACCAACTAAAAAAGCAGAAAGAAAAGGTCATGAAAATTAATAGAATAGAAAAAAAGATATTGGCTTTACGTTGCAACCGTGGTCACAACATCATATGATCCTTACAGCATGGTAAACATGAAAATCAAACCAGTATGTTTGTAAATGCAAATGATTAATTCAAATATTTATAAATACATTCTATCTCTCAAATGTCTTAGGTTAATACAAGTTGTTAAGATATAAATTTTACTTTAATTTTTTTCTGTAAAAGTTAATTCTTTAGATACGTTAGGAGATGTTTTGAATTTAAAAGCTACTTTTTCTCTTGAAGTTAGGCAAAGTTTTAGTGTAACGACCTACAAGTTACACTGTAATGATGAGTTTTAATTAATTACTCGAAATTTATATAATAATATAATTTTCAGACAATTCTAGGTTAACGTAAAAATAAGAATAATATTCTATATCATTGGTAAAAAGTTGACATTAAACCTTTGCGATTACACACAAAATAAAAGAAAACAAATAATATTATAATAATCATTTTGAAGAAAAATTATAGAGAGTAAATAAAAATATCAATTACATTTTTTTATCAAATATTGATTAGTTTAGAGAAAACATATTTATTTTTTAATCAGAATAAAATCCATTTTTAATTAAATTAAAATCTATCAATATATTAATTAAATCAAAATCTATTTGAATTAAATTATTTTTAATTTAAATTAGTCTCTAATATTAATTATAGATATTTTAATCATTTTCTAAAAATTAGTCTTTAAATGAATTGATAAATAATTTTATATTTAGAGATCAATAATTTAATTTATAATAATATTTTTATAATAGATAAAATATTATTTATCCATGTTTTTAAAAATATTAATAAATGAATAAATTTTATGAACATAAAAAAATTATAATTGAAAAAATAATAAACGAGAGCATAGTTACATCGAGGAGAGTTTATATGAAATCTCATTTGCATATATCTAATTTTATATATATATATATATATATATATATAAACGGAAATTTAACATATTCTAATCGAACTTAATCCACAAGTTTTCTTGTTTAGTTTTTTATTAAAAAAAATATGAATTGTGTACGGAGACTAGGTTCATGATCCTGTCTCTATTCACACAAACAACAAATCTAATGAAAAAAAAATTATATTGTTTTCAACTTTTTTTAATGATTATTCAGAAAAAAGTAGATTTTGGCGACCCATTAATGCTCATAGTTATCCTCTCAATGAGTGATCTTCTACCTCATTGATTAATCCAATAGGACAAATTCCAAGGTCTCACTTATTCATCACAAAAGATGTTTTAATTTTTAAAATAAAATTTATTGAACTATGTTAAAAAAATATTGATATATAATACACATTGTTAATTTAAAAAATTAATGAATTGGGTAATAATAGCTTATTTATATAAATAATTATCATATAATTATAATAATCTGTATACAAACAGTAACAATAGTATTATTTATACAACATAATGGAATTTTGGGAAAAATCGTTCTTTTATTACAATAGTATAATCATTAAGTAGTATTCTAAATTGCTAGTGCAAAATGTTCATCATCCACTGTACCGTGAAAGTCCAGCAACATTTATCATTATTATAATATTTTAAAATAATAAAAGTTATTTCAAATTAAAATAAGATTAAAAAATAATTTTATCCAATTTTATTATATAATGTTATAATATTTTATTTTTAATTTTTTTAATAATTCCATTAAAGATAATCTTAATTCAGCATAAATCAAAGGCTTATATCTTAGTAATTATCACATTTTTTAATTTAGTTATTTTAATATTTATAAAATTAGCAATACCTAGCTAGATATAGTACCAGAATATATTGGATACAAACAATATTAATTATCACATTTTTTCAAATGTTTACGTATTAATTTGTCAGATTTTTTCAGGGAGAATTCAAACCCACTACTTTTTCCTTCAAATTTTGATCACCAAACTAACTTATAATCCATATGCATATTCCTTGTAGAAGATAATATATATAAATTGTTGCTGGTAACTTCATATTAACTATTTGTTTTGTTATTTTTTACGTGTATATTTTGTTAACTATATATTAAATAATTATTTTGTCATTTTGTTACTTTATGGTTGAAGATGACATGACAGAAATTTATGAATATAGAACACCCAGGGTGTAATTTTATAAATAGCATTTTGGCCAACCAACCACTGTTTGATAAAGAAAGATGATTACAAATCAAAATTAGGAAGGATGCAAAGAATCCAAAAAATAAATCTTTTTTTTCTTCATGTAATAACAAATATATATTTATTTAAAAGGCTCTTTTTAAAAAATATTTATTTATTTAAAGGTATCCACTTAAAGGGACTTTTTTTCATAAATAATACTATTTTCAAAAATATTTTCCAAAATAAGCACCTCTCGCAACTTTATTTACACAACTAAGACTGTTTACTTATTCACATAATAAAATAATATTATTTCGCGTAACTCATTCATCGTTTACGTATTAAAATAATATTATTTCGCACAATGAACTCTCGCTCAAGCGAAGAAAACCTTCGCTTGAGCGAGGAAATCTGTAACAAAGGGGTAATCTCGGGTAAATTCTCGCTCAAGCGAAGAAACCTTTCGCTTGAGCGATAAAATCTGTAACGAAGGGGTAATCTCCGATCAATTCTCGCTCAAGCGACGGATATTTTTGCTTGAGCGAAAAGTATGATCGATTATTATCCAATTATAGTCGATCACTTTGACATACATGACTTTAGATAGCGGTTATTTGGCCAACCGCTATCTAAACTACTACATTAGACAGCGGTTAAAGCCTAACCGCTATCTAATATATATTTTTAAAAGCGGTTGTTATCAACCGTTATCTAAGGTTACTCAAGCGAAAACACATCGCTTGAGTGAGGACACCTGGAAAAATGGGGGATTCTCGGGTTCTGTCTCGCTCAAGCGACTTTATGAACGCTTGAGCGACAAGTGATTCTAATATGTGGTGAACCAAATTATATTATTTGGCTAACTGCGTTTGACGTTTCGGCATTCGGTCAATACTCGCTCAAGCGATAAAGTCATCGCTTGAGCGACGAAGCCGTCAAACAAGGGGGACTCTCGGGTTCTGTCTCGCTCAAGCGACGGGTACTTTCGCTTGAGCGAGAAGTTATTGAAATACGTGGTGACCCAAGTTGCATTATGTGGCTAACTGCGTTGGACGTTTAGCTATGGTTAATTCTCGCTCAAGCGAAGAAACCCATCGCTTGAGCGAGGAAACCTGCAATTATTTACAATGCTGAGTCACCCACTGAAGTCAGGATTCCCATGTCTTTCTGATGCACACAAGTAAAGAATCCAATGCTGAGTTACCCACCTAAGTTAGGATTCCAATCTTGGATTCCCTGCATTGGGTTAGACAAAAGCAGAAGAATCCAAACATATTTAAAGAGATGTTGACCCACCCACTTTGCTTGGGTTTTGTGTGCGTCAGAAACCATGTGAGGGAGCATTGGATTCAAACCAATGGACTTCATTATAAATAGACCACTTTCATTCTTTGAAGTTCTCACATTGCACACTCCTAAATCTGTGAAGCTATTTGCATTATTTCTTCTTCTTACCTTTAGTCTTCTTTGTGTTCCACACTCCTAAAATGGGTGTAGTGTCTACTATTGTCCACTATGATGGTTTCATGAACCCATGTCCCATGGAGGGAGTTACCTTCAATACCGGGACTGCAAAACTTGTTCCTTTAAAGAGAGGAATTTCTTTACAAAGGTTGAAGAAGTTGATCCACAAGAAATTGGAGAAAGAACCCCACGAAAATGTAGCAATCATCCATTTTCGCTGTCCAACTAGACTCGGAGTTGGGATCAACAACTTCATTGCTGTTGAGTTGAAAGATGATGACGACGTGGAGGCCATGTTCGATGTTCATGATTCACACTCAAGTCTATGTGGTATTGAAATTTTTGTTTCATTTCAAACTTCTTCTTCTTCATACCCCAACACACACTCACCAGGAATTTTACCCTTACCCTACCAAGCTTTCCCAAACACTGACCCAGAAATACCCACACATAATGACTACATCCCTTCTACCCAACTTCTAAGTGGGCCTTCCACCAACATCAACGAAGAACTACCCACACAAGAGAACAAAATTGTTGGTCTCCCAATTGAAGTCGTTGATCCTTTTAGTGAGGATGAAGACGAAGATGAAATTCTCAGTCAACACCAAGATGATTCAGAGGACGAACAACCACATATCCCTACACATGCACCAAACTTCATGGAACCATACAACCCACCACAACATTTGCTTAACTTTGAAAATCACATTCAACAACAAGACCCAGAGTATGGTCATGCGTTGGACAGAGAGTCTTTTGTTTCTCCGGCAGGAACTCTATTTCTTGGACAACGTTTCATAACAAAAGAACAAGTTCAAGATACCATAAACCGCTTTCACATTGTCAATCACTGCACATACAAGGTGAAAATTTCAAACCAAAGTAGATATGTTGTTGAATGTGTTGATAAACAATGCAATTGGAGATGTCAAGCAATATTGCGCACAAGATAGCAATATTGGGAGATTATGAAGCTTGAAGGGCACCATACATGTGTTTCGCCATTAATCAGCCAAGACCACAACAAGTTGGGATATAAAATTATTTTCCAAACAATTGGTCAAATAATTGATGCTGATTCGTCAACACCAATCTCCACAATCATAGCCCACATCCAATTAACAACGGGTTACACTATAACATACAGGAAGGCCTGGTTGGCCAAACAAAAGGCAGTGGAGATCATCTACGGCAATTGGAAGGATTCGTATAAGAAGTTGCCTTGTTTGTTACAAGCGATGCAACAATTTGTTCCCGGATTCATCTACAAACTGCAGTCACAACCAGCTTACCAAGGTGAAGTCCTTCAACAAAGTTCAAATATTTTTAAACGTGTGTTTTGGTCGTT